ATACCAGCCTTCTCTTTCTGCTGCCATTTTCGTTGACACGGTGCGCCGACCACATGAAATTCAACCTCAGCGGTCCCATTACTTTTCTCCATCTCCTAGCCTCATGTCTTTTCCTTTTTTTTCCCCTCTAAGATTTCAGAAGCAGTTCTCTTAGCAACCAGAAAAACACACTTTTAACCACAGCTCCAGTGACAGATGCACTGGGCAGCAGCATCTTGCCCCCTGGGACATTCCGTGCACTTCAGAAAGACTCTTGTCCTGGGGCAGAAATAATTCCCTGGTCCATCTGCTGCTGTGGACCACATCAGTCCTGATCTCCGCTCTCTCTGCTGGCTTTGTAGTTAGAACTTTCCCATCATGGCTTTTCCAAGGGGTGATCTTTTCTGGTTTCTCTGAGACTTCCGGTGGGGTGTGAGTGTTAGAGACACGTGGAAAGGCACTGATGAGCTCATTTTTACCAGCTGCCTGGAATCGGGGGACCCATCTTTGACTACCTTATATTTAATGATTTTTCTGATCATCTTAAAAAAAAAAATACCAGAAGTAGGTGGAGTCCCCGACCATTACCATGATGGAGGGGGCAGAGATGTAATGGGTACTTGTATCTGATTCTTACAAAGGGAAATACAGGTCGCGTTCAGGATTCCACCACCACATGCCTGCCCCACTACCATGGGTCTGGGGCACGGCTCCTCCCTGCTTTGACTTTGTCAGCACATCTGCTAGCTGACAAATAGACTTGGCTTTTTCTTTAAAAAAAATTAAAAGAAAAAAAAAATAGAAAAGCACAGTGCATTATATTTAGCCACGGCGCATGGAGCGCCCGGCACCAGCCAGGTTTCCTTGGATAACTGGGGCTCCAGCTTGCACATGCCTCCTGGTGTTCCCCGCCGCCAGCTCAGTCACTCCCTGCAAGTTCGCCCTGCGCTCTGCCGCTTCCTCGATGCCCCACTCCCGGAGCAGAGAAGCTCACATGACGAACGCTGCCAGAGGCAGCCGGCTCTGAGAGCTGCCCCAGCCACGCACAGTTGGTTCCCAGCTGACAGACAGAATATGGGGTGGGCTTTGTCACCAGCACGCCGGGTCTGGCATGCCCAGCGATGCTCGGGAGCGCACAGTGCCCAGACACCCGCTGCTGCTCCCTGGATCCCAGCCGCTCCAGCACCGAGGGGCCGGGCTGTGCGCCTAGCCTTCCGCCCCTCCGAGAAGGTTATATAATGAGCGGACCGCTGCCAAAATCAGAGGGAAAATGAAGTCTTTGTTAAATGCCTTCACCAAGAAGGAAGGTAAGGAGAAAGCGATAGGGAGCGTGGGGGACCCACAAACAGCTTCTGACTGCCTCTGGGAGGAGAGAGGGACTCGGTTCCCCCTAAATTTGCTTGTTGTTAGTCCATGTCTTGGAAGGGAATTCATTACTTCTGGTTCGCGATACGGTTTGGCTTATTTGGTCTAGGAAATTAGCACGGCTGAATGTGCCCTTTTATCCTACTGTGTTTTTAAGCCTTCGGTCCCTTGCAGAACTGCATTCCCAAATGTCCTTCCATGGTGACTGTGATGCAGGGCACTTTAGGAACTAAGTCCTGGGAAAAATAAAAGAACTTTGACTCTAGTCTGTCAGTCACCTGGAGGGCGGCTAAGCTCCTGCTCGGGAAGGTCGGGCACATGGCTAGCTATACTGGGTGGGTAGACACCCACCAAGCCACCTCTTGGTTCTCCTTGGCTGTCCCCGGGTTGCAGTTTCATGGAGTGTATGGAGAAGGCAGTGTGGCAGACTTTAAAAGTGCATACGCTCTTTGTCATACCTTGTGTGGTTTTTATTGTGGGGAAAAAATGTATAAATAAGCGCATGTAAGACAGCTAAGAAAATATCCACCCACCTAGAGTTTGCAGATTGCCTGAAAGAAGGAAACAGTTGGGTGGAATATTAATCATTTTCAGACAGGAAAAGAGTTATTTTTAACCCTTTTCACACACCAAAAAAATGCATCATTTCCATGGATGATTCCAGTCAGATAGTTTTGTCAGACAGGGAGATTTCCTGTTTAGGAAATCAGTGCTTTCTGGAGAGGTTACTTTAAAGAAATTAGAAAGATACTCCCCAGCCCGAGCTCGTTGTAAAAAATAACACACTAAAGAAATTTTACTGCTCTAGAAACTAATTTAATGTGAATCCTGGTGATCAAGCAAGGTAATTTTCATTAAAATGTTCACCCTAATGTCACCTATGTGATTCCATTTGAGTAGCTTGCCTGGTCTTCAGGGTAAAATGTATGTGAAAATGTCCCAGCTATTTTATTCCTTAATCCTCCACGGGTGGCCTTCCCATGTGAATTCCTACCAATCTCCACGTCCTCATTCTTAAGACTCTTTCTTAGGAATTTGTACAAAGACAGCCTTCACTTAAATTCATTTTCTAACATTATGCAGCAAAATTCGCCTTCTGGGACTTCAATTTTTATAATCCATGAACAGTGTGAAATTTTCAGTCCGGTGTTACGGTGTGAGGTTAATTCTATATTTCTTTTGTTTTCCCATGGATTTTTCTTTCCTAGTGAATTTATCTTAGCAGCTGGCACCCCCCACCATCCTGTTTCTTTTCAGTGAAAGACATTAACATTTTACCTATTACATAGGTCAGAAACAGAGGACTGCCTATTTTTGGGGACAACAGCTGAGCACAGGTGTCCTGGTCTCAGAGCTGTGTGGTGTCCCCACGTGCTGAGTGAGAGCCCTTGCTCCCCTGGGCGTGCTCCCTGAAGCCCTGGGCCTCTAGGACCACTTTATGCTTTCTATATCTGCTTGGGATTTTGGCTTTCCTGAGAGCAGAGTCCTTCAACTACTCATCTCAGGGAACAAGTGATCAGCCTCTTAGGTTGTAGGATCACCAGCCCTCTGTGAGGTCTTTTAACTGCATCCCTGGTGTCTGGCTGTTTCAAGTACCCCCACAAGCTCCCACTGCCGGCTGCATTTGCTGGGGCCTCAGTCATTCCATGAGGGTTTTAGCCTTTGCCAGCTTAGATAGAGGGAAACCAGTGTAGTTTCCTTACGTGACCAGCAAAACTCGTACTCAGTGGCCTGACCCTGGGATGTGGCTTTTTTAGGCAGGCTGTTATTGGCCCTGGGCCTAGTGAGGGGGTATCTTCTTGGCTCCAGGGAGGACACTGCTAGCCTGGCCCGCTCCTGGTATCCATGGATGGCCTGGGTGGCCTCTGAGGATGCACTTGCGTGGAGAAATGGGGGCTAAAATGAAGCACCAACTACAGAGCCGGTCACCAGTGTGCCTGTCCCTCTGATAGAGCGCTTCCTGGAGAGACTAGGTCATGTAAGATCATTGCTGTCTAACTGAGGTTAGGAAGACCTCCCCCAGGTGGCACAGAACCAGAATGCCACATCTGAGTGTCACCAGTACCCCTCCTGCCATTCTGTGTGGCTTCCACAGCTTGGCTCCCAACTATTTTCCTGGAACTTCCCTGTATCCTGGAGAGGTGACAGGGGTAGGCTGGATCACAGCTATCTCAAGAAAGGACTACCAGCACCACTTCTGTCCTCCTTGATCTCTCCGAGTGCCCCCTCTGTCCCTGTGAGCTCTGCCACTGCCACCTCTGTCCACCATGAGCTCTTCCGACACTACCTGTTCCTGTGAGCCCCGCCATTCAGGTGACAGGTGCAGCCATTCTAGGTTTCTTTGATAAGCCTCAGAGTAGCCTCTGACCTTGGGCAGCCAAAGGGGAAGGAGATTGCCCAGGACTCTGTCCTAAGCTCTTTGTGACCTGCTTCACTTTCAAGATGTCATGGTCCTGCCCAGATCAACTCCCCTGAGAGACATGTATCCTCTCCTGCATCATAGCTACTCAGGTGGACTTGGACAGCACAGACCTGGAGCCAGGGGCATGGACATTCAAGAGCTAGGGGGTCACCCAGCATCTTTGGCAGGTCAAGAGCGGGTGGTATCTGCTGTCTCCTGCAGCCTGGAGGAGATTTCTGAAAGGATCCATCACAAAGGAGCAGCCAGGATACTTAAGGGCATCACACACAGCTTCTAAGAGCCTGTGTCCTCCGAGTGCTGGGCACGGGGACTTGGGAGCAGGAGGGCCTGGCACCGCACAGAACTTCCCGCACAGCCAGATGAGTGGGCCACTTTCACCACTGCGAGAGCCAGGCCCCAGCCTGATGATGAGGAAGGAGCATTCTCAGGGGCTGTGAACTCATTCTGACCAGGAGGTTTAGGGCTGTGTTCACTGCTGGGGACGCCGTGACAACACCAGGTGCCGAGTGGTTTATACAGATCAATCAGTCACAGTCCCATGTCCTGGAACTGAAGTCTGACATCCAGGTGTCACAGGGCTGGCTCCTCTTGACTCTCTCCTTGGCTTGCAGATGGTGTCACCTCCCTGTGTCCTCGCGTGGTCATCTCTATGTGTGTCTGTGTCCTGAGCTCCTCTTTTTACAAGGGCACGGATGGGATTAGGGCCCACCCTAGTGACCCACTTTAACCTAATTTCCTCTGCAGGGTCCTCTTTCCTAGTGCAATCAAGCTCTGAAGTCCTGGGGTTGGACCCCAGCATGGAATGTCAGGCCCCATAATTCTGCCACCTCCAGGCCAAGTTTAGGGCCAGAGGAGGAGCTCTGCCATACCTTGGCATCTTGGTGTTCTGACTGCTTTGGGAGGTGGATTCCATCCTTAACACACACGTAAAGCCAGCAGCATCTTCTAGGCTGTGGAAGGAGCTACCTGGATGGAAACTTGAACATGAGTCTTTTCCATCTGGGTTTTGGCTTGAGCTTCTGTGTAAGGGAGATGACCAGCTCCCTCTCCACCATCTCCCTGCTTCCATGTTGGAGTAATTCCAGACCTTGGACAGCCTGGCTACAGATTCCACATGAACTCGTGTCTCCCGACCCTGGGCTCGCATGGGGGCATGGATGCACGCAGGCTGGGCCCCCCACTCTGTCTGCCTCTGGACATGCTTACCTACCTCTCCCTATTCTCTTCCACCCAGTGCCCTTCCGAGAGGCTCCGGCCTACTCCAACCGCAGGCGGCGGCCTCCAAACACTCTGGCCGCACCCCGGGTCCTGCTGCGCTCCAACAGCGACAACAACCTCCACGCCGGTGCGCCTGAATGGGCCGTCTGCTCTGCGGCCACCTCCCATCGCAGCCTCTCACCCCAGCTGCTGCAGCAGGTGCCCAGCAAACCCGATGGCGCCGTGAAGAGCATCCCGAGCTATGCCCCCGGGCCCCGCAGCCGCTCGCCGTCCCTCAACAGGCTTGGTGGCACAGGCGAGGATGGCAAGAGGCCCCAGCCACACTGGCACGTGGGGTAAGGAGTGGCGGGGTGGGGGTGGGGGGAGAGAGCTCAGCATCCTGGGACCTCATTCCTCCAACTTGAGTTGCCCCAGGGAAACTCTAACATCTGAATTCTGCCCATGCCTCCTGGGCACGGGGTCATCCTTCTGAGCCTCATGCCTTTGGTGGCAGGTCTGATGGCTTGGGGAGAGGGAGGAGGCAGAGACGAGCTTTTGAAGATGCCACTGGTATTGGGCCTCATTGCCCCTCCTTGCACTTGCCCTTGCAATGCCAAGACAGGAGGAGATGAGACAGCAAGTGTGTTCTGGTACCTGTGCACTCTCGGGGCTGCATTTGCCAGCTTGTCAGCATGCCATGTGTGCCAAGTGCACACACTGGCAGCAGTGGAAATCCCTGGCACAGGCAAGGTAACTGAGGCTCAGAGAAGCCTCACTGCAGCATGAGGAACTAACCATGTCCCCAGGGGCATGGTCTCAGTCGTGCTACTGAGCCTTAACTATGTCTGCCCGGCATGGCAGCTATATGGAGAGTGCTTCTGTAAGCCTTGGAAGCAACCCCAGGGAAGAGGGGGCAGAAACCCCAGTACTGGCCAAGTGGCCACCCAGGTCTCTTGGCCAAAACCCTCTGGGGCATTCAGCTCCTGGTCTGGGTCCTTCCCTGACTACCATCCTGCCTACACCAGCAGGCAAGGCAGCTGGGTTTGTACTCAGAGCTCCAACTCCAAAGCACACTCTCTGCCTTGGCAGTCTGCTTTCCTGAATTTCTCAGGCGAGCGAAGGACTTTAGGGGAATCAGCTCATTTGGGGCACCTCAGGTGCCAGGTCTGGTGGTGTTCTTATTAATTCAAGCAGCAGCAGAGACAGATACCCAATACCTGCTGGCTGTTCCACAGGCCAAGAGCCTCAGCTATGCTAGCCAGTGGGATCATGCAGCCAGTGCCAAAGTCAGGCCCAGATCCCTAGTTCTGGGGTCTTGGTTTGGCCCGTGAGCCTCAGTTTCCTGAAGGGTGTCATGCTTGTGGTGAAGCTTTTGTCTGGTATGCAGTGCCTGGGCTCCTGCCTAGGTACCTTCTGTGTTCCCAGACTCCAAAGCTGCCTGGGATCCCCAGCCTGACTGCAGTGAATCTCACTGGCCAAGGTCATGCTCTATTGCCAGCTAAGTTCAGGTGTGTGAGAGAGGACATCACCACCCCAAATCACCACATGGCACTGTACTGCAGGCTTGGTGTGGGTTTGAGGAGGGTCAGAGCCTCACATGGACACAGAAGGAAACTATCATCCTCACTGTGACCTGGCAGGTGGGGTCTCAGCTGTAGCCGAGGCAGGTGAGAAGAGAACATGCCTATGGGAACACAGGTCTCCTGGCCCCTCTGAAGAGTCCAGGCCTCACCATCTGGGATCTAGTAGATCTCCAAGCTGGCAGCAGTGCTGCAGCCCTTTAGCCTGTCCATACTTATACCAGAGCCGAAGGACGAGCTCCAGTTCTGCACTGGTCTAGATTCTGCCTTGAGCAGCCCCAAGGGGGAAGTCCCAGGTGCTAAGAACAGTTGAAAGCTAAATTAAAGGACTCCCCTGAGACAGCTGATTCTACTTCACACCCTAGGCTGGAGTTATGACTATAATTTTATGTAGTGTGTCCCCTTCCTCCAGTACAAAGTGTAATAAGATACCGAGGGCAGTGTGGCCAGGGACTGGCACACGCGGCAGGCAGAATGTTGCTGTGAAGAGCAGAGGCAATGGGGGCTTATTCCAGGGTCATTCTAATCACCCAATTCCTGTGCCACTGTACAGGTGTGTAAATTTGTGTGTACATATGTGTAGGTATTTGCACTTACCAGTGTTTATGCCTGTGTGCATATTTGTGCATCTGGGTGTACATGTATGTGTGTATGCAGAGGTGCGTGTGTGTGTGTGTGTGTGTGTGTGTGTGCATGCATGTGTGTGTGATATCATCGCAGCCAGCCTACCTCCTGGACTTCTGCCACATGCTTTTTGGCCTGCACTACTTAGTTGCCGTGTAACTTAGTAGCACAGCTTACCCACTCTGTGCCTCTTGTTGATTATAAAATGAGGCTCATACAAAGACAGGCTTCAGGTTGTGCTCAAGACTGAATGAAGAAATTCAGGGCAGCCGCCCAGCATGTGCTTCACACAGGTACATGCCCAATCCACAGGGACCCTGAGAGCTGACATGTGTGCTGAGCCACAACCCAGAGCTCAGCCAGACCTGTTCCCTTCATCCACCAGCACCAGCAGAACCATAGGGCAGAGTGGCCAAGCATCCATACTTTTCCAGGATTGGAAATTTTGAGTGCTAAAATCAGGACAGTCAGTTCCCCTAATCATGGACCCACTGCTTGTCCTGAGTTGGGGAGGGGATTGGGGCTGGCTGGCCCCTGCCTTGCTGGGTGGTGCCCCAACTATTAAACCTGCCTTCTTGACCCTTGTCCCATTGTCCCCTCCTCCAAGTATGTATGCCCCATATCTGACTGCTTGGGACATGGTCCCCCACTAGTGACATGAGAGGGGCCCATCAGTGAGCGCTCGTGAATGGATGTAGCCTTCTTCCAAGCAAGTGTCCTAACCAGGGTCTTTCAGAAGCTCTCCTGATCCCTCTAATTGGTGACAGTGTTGCACATTTGACCATATAGTGGGCAGGTGGCATAGGGCATGAGAGGTAGAGATGCCCCTCTGGACATCTCCCCAAGGTTTCCCTAGGGACGATGGTAGAACTTCAAGTGCCAGCATGGTGTTCTGTCCTGTGTCCTGCACAGGGGTGCATGCACTAGGCAGGGGATGTCTGTGCATAGCAAGGGTTCAGGGGAAACAGGTGAACCTGCACTGAGCGTCCATGATGGCATGGTAATCTGAGGCCACAGTGGGTACAGGGCAGCCAGGCATGCACGGCTGCAGTTCCGTGCCCTGACCACTAAGGTCTGAGTATCCTAATGTCTAAGCTGCCCCTGCCTCCCGCTGCAAGACTGTGGCCCAGTTCTTCCTATCTATGCCCAGGAGAGGAGACAGCTTTTACTTGGGCTGGAAGATGACCATTTAAGGTGATGAGGGGAGAAAGGGCTTCATATCTCAGTCTGGGGCACTTCAGAGGCTCCAGGAAGAGGCTGACCCAACTGCTCTGTTCTTCCCCTGTTCTTGAAGCTTATAGTCCAGCCCCCATGAGTCTGCGCTGCTCTTTCCAAAAGGACGTCTCTTTCCTGGGACAGATAGGCCAGGCTGTATGATACCAATGGGATAGTGAGGAGGGAGATTAGGGCCCCCAGACTTCTGGTGTCCCTGGTGTCCCAAGGTCCTTTGTGGTCACTGTCAGAACCTGGAGGTGCAGGTCAGGATATTTTCCGTGTGCTGTGTGTCTTTGGACAGTCTCTTGATCATGCTCTGCTCCAACTTTCCCACGTGTGTGGTGGGCCTCCCTGATAGGCATCAGAGGGGGATCTGTGCAATTCCACACCTGTCGTGCACCAGGATCCACATCTGGGCCCCGTAAGCTCTGTGGCAGCATCTTCTGATCCCATAGTCATGACAGTTCAGAAAGAACCATGTGGCCACAACGGAGCAGGGATGGAAGGTATCAAGTGTCTTCCCCCCAGAGTACAAATGCCAGCTTGGGTCAAGAGGTAGGAGGAACAGAGACTTGGTGAGATAGCATTCTGAGCAGGAGGGGACCGCCCCAGGCCCTGTGGCTGAACACCCCCTTGTCCCATGTGTGCTCACTGCCAGGAGGAGGCTGGCTACCCAGCAGCCCCCCTAGACCTGAGCCAGACCGGAACAACAACCTGAGACCCCAGCCAGGTACATTATGGGCACCTCATGTGGCAGAACCAGGCTCATGGCAGCCTTGAAGGGAGGGAACAGAACCATAGGGTAGGGTGGCCAACCAGTGACCTGCTGCCTCCCTGCCCAGGCTCTGCAGTGATGAGCCAGCCCATGTGGGGGGGCAGCAGGGTGGAGCGTGAGGGTCATCCTGGCAATGTTCTAACAGGAGGTGGCTCCGAGCGGGACTGGGGACCAGGTTGTATGGACAATCAGGTGAAGGTTCCCGGGAGCATTGAGGCTCCCACTGCCCATGATTGCCCAGGCCACCCAGAGTGTCACAGTGAGGAAAGGGGTACCATTAGATGGGAGAGAATGCGCAGCTCCTGACCTCAGTCCCATCTTTACCTGTGGCCTCTCCTATCACCTTTCTCTTCCATCTCTTTCTGTCTCCCTCTCCTCAGTCTCTTTCTTCTCATTTGTTTTCTTCTCCCTGCCTTCCTAGACACAGGTCCAGAGGGATGGGCCCATTGTTTCGGCAGGCAGGCAGCGCCTCCCCTACTCCTAGCTCAGGTGTGAGACTTGCACACCTTGCTGAGGCAGCGCCCCCTGGTGACACGCACAGCACAGCTGGGCCACCATCCTAAGAATATTCCTGACATCTGCATCCACCACCACCATGGCAGGGTAGACAAGGGACTTTGAGGTCTTGTAGGATCTCTCCCAAATTCTCAGGCTCATAACAGCTCTAAGCATCTTTCTGCACAGTCTGGCAGAGGGTCCCAAGGGCTGCCCTGGCTTCATCCACCAGGGGGAAATGTTCTGGCCACTGTCCTATCAAGCAGCTGTTTCTCACCCAGCAGAGAACAGACTCATGTTTTTGAGGTCAGTAGGTGAGAGTAGTGCCACAGGCCACTCACTGGCTGTGCTGAGCAGGGATCTGGCACCTCTCTGAGTGTATCAGTCTCTGGGGTGTCAGGATGAAGTAGGCAGATGGTCTGGGTTGGGGTCCGGGTCCCAGGTCCTGATCTCAAGGAAAGGGCCAAGCAGAGGCCAGTCTTCACTTAGCATCAGGAAGGGACCACTTCCCAAGAGGAGTCCCTCGAACTGGAGAGGAGGTTGCAAGGCAACCTCACAACTTTCTGGGTGACACCAGGGACTTCAGCCATCATGGGCCCTTCCTGCTTCCCATCCAGACAGAACTAGGTTCTGGGGAAACTACCTCAATCTGTGCACCCTTTCACAG